CTACTAGAACAATTCAAGGCAGTCAGTCGGAACAGTTTGGTCTTAGTCAGAGTAACAAAAACAGCCTGATTAATTCCAAGCGATAAATAGAGATTAGAAAATGGTCATTTAAAAACATATACATAAGTGGACAACAGAGAAAATGTAATAATAAAACAAGAAAAATATAGCACGTTGGCTCGTGTAATAGCACGGTCACAGTTTTTGCATTGTGTTGAATAGTGTCACATAAGCCTGTTATGGTCATGAAATGTTAGCTTGTGATTAGATGTTACATAAATAATTGCGATCAACAGTTTAATTGCCTGTTTTGTTCATTGCATGAAACTGTTACAAGTACAAGCCTAGTTAGTCTGAAGTGGCCAAGTTAACTAATTTGCCATCTTAACCAAATGTCTGCAGTTACACAGAATCAGAAAAAATCAGAAAAAATAATCATTCAGCGAGCATAAATACTAAAAACATTAGAATTAGCTAACAAACAAACAAAACTTATGCTGCCCTCTAAACTATTAGTGCACCCAGTTATGTTTTGTTTGTTTATTGGTTTGTTTATGTTTTGGTATGTTTATTTACCTCAACCCAGCACACCCAGTTCACATTTTGCACACCGTGGCACACTTTTAAAATCTAGCAACTGTGGATAATAATCACAGTCAACTGAAGTAATTGCGATCCTCTCAAATAATTGCGATTAGGCATTACGTGATAAGTATGACAGGTCTAGTGTCACTGTATTACTACTACATGCCTTCACTGGCCTGGTTACCTCAGTGTTTATCTCAGCTGAGATGACTGTAAAGCCATGATGAGCTCTTGTTAACAGGAATCCTCATAAAACCTTTTTGTGAAACATGCTGCTGTTTTTCTGTAGGATATTTTTTAAGAGTTTCAGTTGTTCACTTTTTCCTTCATTGCTTGGTTGTACGTCAGTTGTTTTATTAATTTGGAGCCAAAAGATATCGATCTTCATGTAAACTCATTACACGGGAGAGTGAGCAGGATTGTCCTGTTGTTGCAGCATCGTCTAATTCCGTCTCTGCTGAATCGCATTGCTGCATGAAAGATAACACTACTGTGAGTAAATGCCTTCATGTCGGGCGATCCATCAAACCCCCCGCGATTATCTTTTTTTGGAGGAAATCTTGGTGACGCATGAAAAGAGAGCTGAACTGCAGTTAACAGGACGTTATCAGCGTTATGTGGTTGAGGCTCATGTTCACTCGGCTGTTCCACATACCGTATGCGTTAGCGCTGTGCTTCAGATTCCTCTGTGTGTGATATGACTATTTACAGACCACTACACTTGACCGTGCGGTGCCAGTGGGAGTGTTTGATGACACCGTCTCCACGGAGATGGAGGCGGTGGAGTATTTCCTTCCTGCAGGCTGTTGAATTCTCGGCGCTCCGTGAGAGCTGGGTGTCTTTGCTGTCTTGCTTCATTTACGACTGCTTAGGCCGAAGTCCTGCGGGCGTTTCTGTTCACTCCTGCTGAAGCTGTATGTTTACATGTTTTGTTTTGTTGTGTTGCTTCTGGCAGGATCTAAAAAACGCACATTCTGGAAAGCAGATCTGTGGGTCAAAGCCTGGAGCCAGTGAAGTTATAATAACACCCAGAAAATGTGGAGCCTGTTTCAGCACTGTGACAGTTCACTGCTTGTAGAGAAAGACCTGACTGGGTTTAAACCAATCATAAAGGCACAGAACACAGAGGTCAAATAAAGGTGTTTTGTGATTATGGTCTATTCATTACATTAGTAGGTGAATAATCTACAGACTATTTTGATGGCAAATCAGAGTCTTAAAAAAACGTCAAACTACTTAAAATGTTTGAACAATAACAAACCATGCATAACATTTTAAAGACCCCAAAACACTTTATTGTAGAAAGATAAGATAAAATGATAAGATCTGTAACAGTCTCACTGTAAGAGAAACCAGTAGGATCATTTAAAATATTCATAGTCATCAGTTTTAACTGATAACTTTTTAATTGAGTGTTTAATGAAATAACTGAGGCAATCAAGAAATTTTAGCTGATGATTAATTGCCATATAAATAATTTAATTGCAGGGGAATTCCACCAATTTTTCAAAATTTCTGCATAATTCCGTCTTTGAGGTGTAAACAAAGTCACTTACTGACTCTTTTCTTAACAGTGGTGTTGATCCAGGCGTCATAATGTCAACAACACAAATTTAGCCTTTTTTACTCTCCAGAACTGCCAGTGAACCTACACGTGTCGTCTGAGTTTTTATATGTAATACTGATGAAAAAATAATGGAAATCTGAAAAAATAATTAGATTTATAGTAATAGTATTTCGCCTCACAATGGCATGTACATTATGAACAATGACTTATGACTTGCTATGTTTCTCTAGAATGGAGCAGAAAAGACTCTAAGTTTGTTTTCATTTAACCAGTTAATATGCAGAAATTTTGACAAATCGGTGGAATTCCCCTTTAACAATTTAATTGTTTATTTTTAAAAATTGTATGCAACTATCAAAGTCCAAAGTGGCCAAATTGTCTTATTAGCTATTTTGCCTCCTAGCTGTTGATACCAAGGGCTCGAGCTCAAATAAACAAACATCACTCACTGCTGCTCTCGAAACATGTTATAGCAGTGTTATAGTTTTTATAAAACTCATAACATGTCTTAGTAAATGTTTTCTGCTTTATTTTATTTACATGTACAACTGTGTGCAGAAGTTTGAACACCCTCGGTCAAATGACGTTTCATTGATTTTCCAGGTGGAAGCCAGTTAACACATCCTCTACAGGGAACACACTTCAATATGACATTTTTACTGCTGTTTTGGCATGCACAGTTTTTGTTTATTTGCTGAGTTTAACAACTTGGAAAACAAAAAAAACAGAATAAAATGTGCTGCATTTTATGTTTTATTTTTCCTCAGTACGTTATATTCAGCAAATAAACAGTAATTGTGCACTGCAGTGTGCAGAAGTGTGTTCTCTATAGAGGATGTGGATTTGTGGGAGCTCAAACATATAACTGTATTTGCCTCACCTCAGTGGATGAAAATGCACCCAGTTCATCTTCTCTTTGTTGAGACATAATCATCCGATTGTGAAAGTTAACAACTGTGGAAAATAACTGTGGTCAGCTGAAATAATTGCAGTCCAGCAATTATGTAATAATTGTGATGGGCCTGTTTGTACTGGTAAACCCAGTAAGCCTACAGGTGATGTTAAAATCTGTATTTTCATGCCACACAGTACAGGAATAAATTCATACCTGAAATGTATAAGCAGGATAGATATGGATTTTATACTGTACTGGCTAGTGAAAGTTTTTGGGCCAATTATAAGTGAAAAATAGTTCGGGCCTTGGCCTTGGTGGCGGTCAGTGGTGCTAGCAGTGATTTATAGAGTTATAATATAGAAAAGTCTACAATTTGGGCATCCCTGGGGATACATGAAACCAGATGTTCAGGCTTTTCTCAGTGTATCTGTATAAAACTCCAAGTGTTCCTGACCGTTCAGCCAGGTCCAGTAAAGATTAGGAGTGAGGAGTTGCTGTGGTGCATTAAGAACTTACTGAAACGCGTAACTCACATTTAGGATACATAAATGACCAATATATTATTTTTTATTAATAATATCAATATACACCGATCAGGCGACCACCTCCTTGTTTCTGCGCTCATTGTCCATTTTATCAGCTCCACTTACTATATAGGTGCACTTTGTAGTTCTACAGTTACAGACTGTAGTCCATCTGTTTCTCTGATACTTTGTTAGCCCCCTTTTACCCTGTTCTTCAGTGGTCAGGACCCCCATGGACCCTCACAGAGCAGGTACTATTTGGGTGGTGGATCATTCTCAGCACTGCAGTAACACTGACGTGGTGGTGGTGTGTTAGTGTGTGTTGCGCTGGTCTGAGTGGATCAGACACAGCAGTGCTGCTGGAGTTTTCAAACACCTCAGTGTCACTGCTGGACTGAGAATAGTCCACCAACCAAAAATATCCAGCCAACAGCGTCCTGTGGGCAGCGACCTGTGACCACTGACGAAGGTCTAGAGGATGACCAACACAAACTGTGCAGCAGCAGATGAGCTCTGACTTTACATCTACAAGGTGGAGCGACAAGGTAGGAGTGTCTAATAGAGTGGACAGTGAGTGGACACAGTGTTTAGCAGCACTCCAGCAGCACTGCTGCGTCTGATCCCCTCATGCCAGCACAACACACATTAACACACCACGTCAGTGTTACTGCAGTGCTGAGAATGATCCACCACCCAAATAGTACCTGCACTGTGAGGGTCCATGGGGGTCCTGACCACTGAAGAACAGAGTAAAAGGGGCCTAACAAAGCATCAGAGAAACAGATGGACTACAGTCTGTAACTGTAGAACTACAAAGTGCACCTATATAGTAAGTGGAGCTGATAAAATGGACAATGAGCGTGGAAACGAGGAGGTGTAGAGCAGTTCAATCTACATTCTCAGTAAACTTGTTACTAATGCTCATCACTACTAAAAATACGATAGAAATAAGACCCTTTCAGTCTGACACAAAGTGTGGAGAACAGTGACCGAGCAGACCACAGCGAGCATATTTTTGTGTTATTTCCCGCTACTGTCATCAGCAGAGCGTCCCTCCCTCCTTGTCTTATTCTAGCCTTTGACAATAAGATGCTTTAATGGCCTAGTTAAAGCGATGAATGACCCCATGTAATTGAAATCAATAACGCTGGTTCTGCGCTTTGTGCTGAGTCCCACAGTTTGTGTGAAATAGCATGAGGGGCTTGGCCAGGGCGTCAGCCCCGTTACACATTCTGCACTCCGCTGGGAAAGTCGCCCAAACTCTTGAAACTTGGTGTAGAATGCAGCTTCTCCAGCTACAGCGTGCGCCAAAGGGCTGAAATTAAACGGGCTGTGATTGATGATGGATTACTCAATTTGTTTTTTCTCTCTTATTGTTATTTCGCTCACCCCTCTCTTCTCTCGTCTCTCTCTTTCTCCATGTGTCCAGCCACAACCAGAGGAGCACAGCGTTCAGGCATCCGGTGACAGGACAGATATCTCCTGAAAACACAGACTTCATCTTGCAGGAACAGTGAGTGCTGCATCTTTCATTATTATTTTTCACCCTTAGCTTTTTTCTATTATGTTTGCATTTTATATGGTGCATTTACCATATATGTGCACTGTGTGGGTATAAGGTTGCTGACTGTAGCCCATCTGTTGCTAGATCTGTGTAGCGACCACCACTGCTAGACTAGATATTATTTGGGTGGTGGACTGTCCTCAGCACAGCGTTGATACCGACATGGCAGTGGCATGTTAGTTCATGTGGTGCTGGTACGAGTGTATCAGGTGCAGCAGTGTTGCTGGGCTTTTTAAACACTTTTTTAGACACACCTACTCTGTTGGTCCACCTTGTAGGTGTATAGTTAGAGGCTATAGCTCATCTTTCTCTATAATTAATGCACAATTTATGTCATCTTCCAGCACAGTGGTCACCAAACCGCCACCTGGTGATACTTTCCTGACAGTTTGACCTCTAACCCTAACTCTAACACACCTCATTCAGCTAATTAAATACTTATTAAGGCAATAATTAGATGGATCAGATGGGGTCTGTTAGGGTTGGAGCTAAAGTCTGCAGGAAGGTCAGTCTCTAGGTGCAAGGTTAGCCCTTTATTCATTGGTCAGTTGACCACAGGAGCACTGTTGGCCAATATTTTTGGCTAGCAGACTATTCTTAACCCGGTGACATATCTATAACGTGCATCTATATGGTACCTGCACCTGATAAAAAATTGGTTTGTATTGAGGTAGGTGCACCTTATACAGTGTTTATTATATACTTATAATCATAATTATAATACATTTATAAATTAATTTGGTAAATAATTAAAGAAACTATAATACAATCAAGATTAGCTCTTTAGGGCCTATATTCAACAAGTTGTTGTTATTGTACTAAAATATTTATGTGCTTTTAAACAACAAAAGCATTCATTTTTACATAATTATTTTTTAGCCTCTTTTTATCCCTTAAATTAAACTGGCTAATTTGTTACTTTGTGTTGTTTTCTCTGACATTACAAAACTAGTTAATTAAAAACATGCTGTTTTTCCATATATTCACTGTATGGAATTGGAAGTGAATGTTTACAGGCTACATAAAACTTTTATTTCAAGAAGGTGAGGAAAAATCAGATTTCCATACAACAAGCCTTTTAAGACTCCAGCACTCTTACATATTAAAGAGCAATAGAGAGGCATTGAAACATTCCTCTCTATTAGCAGATCAGAGCTGATTTTTAATAACAGGAATGACAGTATCAGGTGCATTTTATTGCAAATGAACATTATTTATCTGTTCAAGTTACATATATGCATTTGAAATCAGCTCTTTCCCAGATGGACAGTGTTTGTATTTCTCTTTAAAAGCCATTGTCTATGTTATGCAGTGTCTTTATCATAGTAAATGGATTTATGGTTATGACCCAGCTACCACTCACATGTGCCTTTGGCTCAAGGCTTGCTGGAAGCTATAAATCAGCCATGAGTGTATAAAGATAATGATAATAATAATGGCTGCATTTTCATGTATCTGGAAATTCTTTAGTTGAGAACAGTGGTTCTCAGCCGAGGACCCTGAGTGTGTCTGCCCTGTACAGTTTGGTGTTTTCCCTGCTCTAACACTTCTGATCCAACGTAACAGCTAATTAACAAGCCCTTCCTGAGTGGAAGCAGGTGGTTTAGAGCAGAGAACTCCAGGGCCATGATTGGGAACCACTGGTTTAGAACAAATGGATATCAGAGTTCTACTGCAGCTGGTCCAAAACTGTCCAGAACTACAAACTAAAACTCAGAGATTTGCATACAAATATCACCAGCCTGACCTTTTATCTTCTCTCCTCTCCTCTTCTTTCCTCTGAGTTAAGCTGAGTCTTTTGCATCACCACAGTGGAGTATTGTGGAGCGCAGACATTCCCTGCTGAGGCAGCTTTGTTGTATAACTCTGTAAAACCAAGGGGGGGGAAGCTCAGCGGTTTAGCTGTTTATGCTTAATATCCTCCTCCTGCTTTGCTACTAAAAGTAAATCTGAGTGAAAAATGTAACAAAGTTCAACGGCCCACCACAACTTTCCATCTGTTTATTCAGCTCTCCCTCATACCGTGTCCTTAGAAGTGTCTAGAGTCGTCTAGACTGAATGAAATAGTGCCATAATAACGGAAGGTCATGGATTAAAAATGTTGGGCACTTTTAAGAATATCACACGTGTCCGTAAAGCTCATTTTTTACCCGGCCAGGAGTCAGGCGGGCGAACGCTGCTGCCAGGGCCTGATTGATGCCTCTCATTAGGAGCACAGTGTGTGGAAGGTGTGTCTCAAGGCTTAGCTATAGCACACGGGTAGCCATGTGCTAATATGAAAGCGAGATGGCAATGTGAACTAGGACTTGAGCATTGGGAAATTTTTACGATTTCAGTTTTAACTAAATATTCTGATAATTATCAATGTCAGCCAATATAACGTCTTGCTTCTTTCTTCTGTTTGCTTTATTTTTTATGTGCTTAAAGTCAGTGGGTCAACCACATGGCCTTCTAGGCCTTCAGAGAAGCCCTAATGTTTTCTTTAAAATAAACAATACATTTCTGTACAATCTGTTAAAAAATTCAGCCTGTAAAGTTTGTTTTTATATGATATTATCGATCGTCATATTTCTTGTATATAATCAGTGCAAGTGTTAATATTCTGATTTCATTGTTAAGTTTTGGGTAAAAACAAAGGGTTAAATTCTTAATATGCCCAGGGGAAAATGATGTAATCAGATTTTTTTTCTCTGTGGTATGTGGGTTGATATAGCCAAGATAGCTTTCTCATTGCTGGACTGGACAGAAGGCCTAATGTTACCCACTAACATAATTAGGAGCCACCAGTGGAATCAACCAATCACGGATTGGTTTCTAATTGCTTTGACTAAGTTTGTGATGATGAAATTTTGTTCTAAGCCTTCTAGATATGACACTCACTGCGAATACAAGTGGTATCCTCACCAATGCATTTCAGTCTGTTGTTAGAAATGGAAAACAGAGGCAGCAGCTCTTTGCAAGGGCTCTTAAACTGAAGAACTCACTGTAAAACTGCTCCAAGGTAAAAATATATGTTAAAGTGTGCTTTATAAGCTTCAAATAAGACATGAAATATAAGTTTCAGATGTCTGTGCTTGATCTAGAATGGCCACAAAAACGTTTAATATACTACCAGTGCTAATATACAACTAGAATCCCATAGGGATAGCAGATTGTAGCATTATAACAGAACTGTTTTTCCTTGTTTTTAACCAAGTTTGGACAATTTGGGCCCCAAACCGAAGACCTAGCACTAACAGTCATGGTTTGCCACTGCTAGAAGTTGGGTTTGGGTGCCTTTGACAGGGTTTAATTAGACAAAAAAAAAGATGAAGGTGTTTGTATTCAGGTTTACGTGTTTAACCTTCTGTGTTGCTGTACTTGAAATGAACAGGTGGTGACTATCAGCTCAGTCTCTATAAAATAAATGTTTTTCATCGCATTAGAGGTGTTTCAGATAAATCCAGTAAATCAAAGGTGTGCAAATAAATCCACATGAACTGAAATTAGGCCTTAGTGTGAGTCCCATTGGTAGCCAGTTAAGATTTGGCCTTTCCACTTCCATTAGCTTTCATAGAGATTTTACATCTATTCTATGAATGGAATTCTTTTGTTTTTCAGAGGAGCAAGATACCAAGTGAGCAGGGAAATATCAAGTGACAGAACTTATCAGCAGCACTGATACTCTGTCTGGGTGCTCATGAACGCTATTTTTACCCCCATACCACCCTTTTTTTTCTCTAGCTTTTTTTAACTTGTCCATTCCCCTGATTTCCTCTCTAGCAGTGGAAAATGAACCTCGCCTAACAGCTGTGACATCCATGGGAAAGCCGCCAGTGCCATAAGCAGAGTCATATTGATATCAGCCAGGCTGTTACTGTCGGTCTCTATGACAGCCAGGGTGTGGGTTTTGACTTCTCCGGAATCCATATCTAGCTTTGAGAAGGTTTTACTGCACTGGACACACACTCATTTGTACACACCCATCTGTTGTGAATGCGAGTGGGGGTGAATCATGCCTGGCCGCAGGCCTCTCTCCCAAATTCCACTGCAGAGCAGAAAACATTCTCATTAGCTGCCAGCCTACAAACACGTGTATTGATAGCACTGTTGCTAACACTTTGGGCCATTATCTCCCAGTTGTGGAGCCATAATATTGATCAGCAAGCCTGAACTGAGAGCAGAGAGTTAAGAGAGGCGGTCATTTAAGCACATTCGAACGCTGTGGCAGAGTGCATTGAACTCCACACACAGTCCAGCACGCAGAACTGCATTTTCTCTGTAGCCGTCTGCATTATTTACCCCACAGGCAGAACTGATAACACTGATTCCCATTACTCAAAAGAAGCTCTTTATCAGACTTTCCCTTCAGACAGAAAGGAAACTCCTCAGACCTACAATCAGCGCTTAGCATACCTGCAGCACAGATTCGTCCAGCGACAGGGTGGTAAATAATTTGGCTGGAACAGTTTTGCAATACTTCTCTGTTTTTTCTCATAAAGATACTGAAAAACTGGCTCATATCGACTGAAAACGACTGATCTTTAAAGGGTCCATATCCTACATTTTGCTATATTGTATTTTTCCCCAGAGATCCAGGTTGTAAGTCGTTTTTATGACCATATTCACACCTTTCTTTATCTCTATAAGCTGTTTATTACTGTACCTTTAAGACCGACCTCTGTTCTGACTGGGCTCATTCTAGAAGTACTCTGGGCTGAAACACTCCTTATAACTTCCTTTTCATTTGTAGTTCCTAAACTCTGGAACTCTTCTAGCTTGCCTTGTCCAGACTAAAACATATTTGTTTAATTGTGCTGTTATTAAATATGCCTGGAGTGTTGTGGCTCATTTTCACCTATTGTTTGTAATTATGCTGTTATCACATTTAGACCATTGTGGTTTATCTTTACGGTGTTTTGCTCGTCTTTCTTTGTAAAGCAGTCTGACATTTTGTACCTAATATAAAA